GCCTAGAGGACCCAGGGGCCATGCAGCAGTGCCTGCAAGAGCTCACCTGAGCCCTCAGGAAGATGAGCAGCAGAAGCTGGAGAAGCAGTGGATGCTGGAGGAGATTGACACGATCCTCTGCTGCTTCAAGAATGGTAAGATGCCTGGGGCAGATGGCCTGCCCCAGGAGTTTTACATGGCCTTCTGGGATCAGGTGGGCCAGCCCCAACCTGGAGGTCTTGCAAGAGCAACTGCAGGAGGACCACATGGGGGCTGGGATGGACCAGGGCCTCATGACCCTTCTTGTCAACTCCAGAGGAGTATTTGAAGAACTGGAGGCCCATTGCCCTCCTCAGCTTTAAATACAAGATGCTGGCCAAAGTCTTGGCTGAGTGATTTAAATCTGTCCTAGGGTCCATCATCCATTATGATCAGTTGTGTGCACTGCCGAGGCACCAGATCCATAGTGCCCTGCTGCAGCTGAGATGCACTCCAGCTTCAATCAGAGAGACAGCAGAAAGTTGCCATGCTGAACCTGGACCTTAAGAAGGCCTATGACCAACTATCCCACTGGTTCCTCTTTGAGACGCTGAAGAAGATGGGCATCCTTCCAAAGGTCATCAGCTGGATAAGGATGCTGTACAGGGACGGGAGCAGCAAGGTGCTAGTCAACGGGTTCCTGAGTGCACCGATATGGGACAGTCAGGGGTCCAATAGGACTGCCCACTCTCCCCAATCCTTTTCATCTGCATGAAGGTACCCCTTGCCCAGTGGATCAGGTAGGATCCCAGGATCAGTGGAGTCCTGATCTCCAGTGGCAGTGGAAAAGAGACCAGGGTCCTGGCCTACATGGACAACCTCAGCATCTGTGCAGAGACAAGTGGTCAGTCAAAAGGGTGCAGAAGCACACAGATCTACAAAGCAGTGGCAGGGGCCAAGCTCACTTGCCTGGTGTCAGGCAAACTCAGGGACTTCTTGTCCCTGGGGTCTCTGTCCCCCATGAGGGGTTCAAGACCCTTGGGGTAGACTTTGACCCTCAGTTGAGTGACTGGAAGGCATGGGAAAAGATGGAGGCCCAAGTGAAACAATGGTTGGGACTGTTGCACACATGCCACCTCTTCATGGAGGGGGGGTGGGGGGGTCCATGTCACTCATGAAGGCGGTTTTGCTACCAGTACTCCTGTACACAGCACTGTTATTCCCCCTGCCAAAGTATGTCACCCACAGAATCCAGGGGGGGCATCTTCTGGAGATTCAGATGGGAGGAGGACCATGGATCTGCACTCTGGTGATGGCTGACAGGTTACGTAGGAGCATATTTTCCACAAGGGCCTAAGAAAAGACCAGAGGGACTTGAACCGGCAAGCACAGGTGCTACCTGTGCAGGCTCTGAGACAGAGAGGGTCAGAGAAGCCAGCCCAACTGTCTCAGAGAAATCTGCCATAACAGAGCAGAGACTACCAGCTACCTCTTGTGGTTCTGTCCATACACCAAGGAGGTGTGGAAGAAGGTAAATTGGCTCTGCTGGGTGGTGACAACAGTCAAGATCATGACCAGAGAAGCGGTGCCATATTGTCACCTGGCCAAACAACAGGGGTTCCCATCAGCCTACCACGATCAGTTCATTTCCTGCATCAGCAGCAATCTGTGGAAGACCAGGAAGCTCCTCGTGTGCCAGCACACAAAGCTCAGTGGAGACCTGTGTTAAAATGGGACTGGGTGAGCTGCAGACCTACTACCAGAAGATGGTAATAGAGGATGGTGAAGAAATTGCAGAGATCATTTGGCAGAGATGCCACTGGCATAAACTGTTCAAAGCCATCCTCTCCAGGGAGCATAGCAGCAATGATGAGGAAGAAGATGGAGAAAGCAAAGGAGAATGCAAATTGAGTGACATGGATGAGAATGGTGACAGTGACAATGGCAAAGACAATGACAGTGACAGCAACCTGACCTATAAGACTAAAGACTAAGGGAAAGAACAGAGGGACACTGTGATTGCAAGGGTGAAGGGAATGCAGATGGGTATATGGGTGCAAACAAGTACAGGTGTGTGTATTGCAATGGGTATATTTCTGTAACTCTGTATGTGTTTTAAATACTGTTTAGAGCTGTTGTATATATCTATTTATCTATATAAAAACATTTTTTCAAAAAAAAATCTCAAACCTGTCCTTCTAGTTTCTCCCATCCCATGCAGTTGTGCTGACAGAAGAAGATACCAGGAATGAAAGTGTTAGTATTACCATCTCATCAAGCTTGTAGTTCTAGCAAATGAATTTGGAAAAATAACACCTGGCAAGTCCTCCTATCTGTAATCAAAAGGTATTTTTATTGAATACAGAAAAAATTAGCAACCTGATATGAGTTGTATTTTGCTCCCTCTTTATAAAATAGGATGTTAGCTATATTTAAATATGATTGCTCTTGTCACTCTTCAACAAGTTACCCAAATTAACCTGTTCTCATGGGCTTCCTCTATTATGCAAACTAAAAGCAAAGCAATTAAATGCTTCAGTGATGAAGATTGGAAAATCTGCCATCTTCACCTCTTGAAATGTAGACATCATACTAGGTGCTGGGAAACAGCAGGGCATTTGTCTAATATTAATGCCAATCACCAGACCAAGGCTCACACTGAACACTAAATATACACAACTATTATGGGAGCAAATGAGCTGATAAAGTTTGGTACCATTCACATATCCTGAATGTCTGTGGCAGAAAGGCCTTCCTAAAATCAAGTAATAGTGGAATTCAAGATAATCCCTTAAAAAAATTACTGTTCTAATGCTGTAAGCTTTGATTCCACTGCGAATCTTGGGGTGATGCTAGCATAGCATTTCTTTGCCTGCCATTTCCTATCTTTATTTTTTTTCCTCCCTCTGAGGGAAATTATGTAATTTCACAACATTACCAAATTCCTACGACAAGATTTCAACCATCTTCAGTTGGTTTATGAGAACTATGTCATTTGTTGTCATTCAAAACCTTTTGTGATGGTTCAAATCCCGACCCTTGCCCCTCAGTCATAAAGATTACTACAAATATTTTCTAGCAGAACTGCGGTAATAGAGTCCATTCAAAATCTTCTATTTCTCAAAGCAAATGTTTCATTCTACTGGAGAAATAATTCACCAGAAACAAATCAATATTCTCTGCTCCACTCCGAAAGACTGATATTCTGCAGATCAGCTGTATACAGATCTGCCCTGAATCAATATATCAAAGAAATCTACATTGCCTTTAGGAAGTAACTACAGCTCATTCAAATTAGTGGCCAATCTTACAGCCTAGGCATCTCAAAAGACAATTCACTTGTCAGGGAAAATGGTCATTTCACCTGAAACAGTCAGCAATGGCTCCCCTTCCAAGAATGAGCAGTCAGTCACAGGCCCAATCAAACCAAAATACCGACATACGGCCCTAAATCTCATCTTGCCAATATCATTCTGTAGAGCATCAGTATATTAAGAACAGACTTCAAGTTTCTCCGTCTGGATATTTTAATGTATTATTTGGAGCAGAGGAAAAGCATCAAAACATCTAAAGCAGTAACACTCAAAGTGAGGGTTTATCCTGTAGTGCCTCTCATGGCATGTAAGAATTTAATTTGATGTATTTTTGCTACACTTACTGAAGTACCCAGAACTGTCAGACCTTATAACAAACCTGAATAAGGAAGGATAATATATGAATATAGATGGACTGTTGCTGGTGGGATCCCTTCTTACTCTGCCAAACCAGGAAGGTAAGGGAAAAGAATAGAGAACTCCCCCCTCCCCTAATTTTCTAGAAGCCACAGAGCACTCCCAGCTGCTGCAGGGATCATGCAGCTGATCGCATTTTTTTTTCCACAACCCCTGGCTCCCCCCAGAGTTGGTGCTGGGGCAGGAATCCTGCCCTAGTTACTGAAAAGCCATATGAAGGAGAACAAAGAAAAGCTATTATACTGAGCAGAACTGCAGAGCACAGCTTGGCCATGTTGCATGTCATCCTACTGCACTAATACACATTGATGACAACATGGTAAAACAGCACAACAGTTCAGTATAAGATGTCACTCTGGCTCTTTTCATTGATTCTCTGATTTCTAGCTGAGCATATCATCCCTCAAACATTCATCTTTAGATAGTTAGCTAGCAATGTAACAAGTGCATATGTCTGCTAGCAGGATTCCTCTCCAAACAATCAAGGCTATCACTGCCCACTTCCTGATCCGCAAGAAAAAGGGCATTATGTTGAAATGTGAAAAACTGCTAACTGGGTTAGATTCATTTTGAAAATAAAAATAACATTGTTTTCTTTGTTGATATTGTTCCTCCCTTTGCATTTTCAAATATAAAGCCTGGCTCATTACTATCTGTTAATGTGCACAATAATAAGCAATGAATGAAGAGAAGAGATCTTTCTTTGCCTGTAAGTTTAACTCACAATAACACTATATTTGAATTCTACTCCAAAATTGTTATAATTGCTGGACTGTGTAGTCTGCAATATCTGTATAACTGCCAGAACCAACAGGCACCAGCTCATCTACCCCTATAGTTTCATGAACATCTGCAACTCCTAGATTTACAGCTAACATTATAATAAAAGCATATATAGACAAAAGGAAAAAGCCTCCTTTTCTCCAAGTAACCTCAAATTATCATACTTTCTGTCTATATACTCCAAGACAGTTTTACTATCTGATCCTGCTATCTGTATTCACATGAGCAGTCCCACTGCAATTAATAAGTGGGGTTAACCTGTGTGAATATGGAGTGCAGGACTGGGCTCTTAAGGAAAAGATCATACTTTTCCCTAAGTTCCTGTGAGAGGTTTACATTTATTACTTCATATTTGCAGCCTTTCCCAATTAGCTGATTTCAAGCATTCCCATTCCTTTACTTAAATTTCCATTTTTCATTTATTATTTGATGCCTCATCTTTAAAAACTTCACCCTGCAAGCTATCGTTTTATAATACAGCTGTAAATATAAACCAAGCCATATGGAACTCAGTGTTTCAGTGCTTACCCTGCAATTTTTGATTATCCAAATGGAATGTGGAGATTCCTATCATTATTCTAAAGAGATAGAACATCTGCTCAATGTGTATTATATACTGAAAAGAAAAAAGGAAGTAATTTTAAACTATATATCGGAAGCTGTGTAAAAAGTATTAAAAGATTTACATAATGTGGAACTGCTTGGTACAAACCAGGAATACAGAGGCATTTATAACTGGTTCCAACACTGCGACAAATGCCATGTGCGCAAGGATTCAGAGCACAGAAGTCAATCAGCTGAGCACAGGTAGATCCTGTGAATCCAGAACTACAACTGCAGGAGTAGGTAAGTCTATCAGCATAGCAGGTCCCATTGTTCTTGCAGGGAGACGATGTACAGGGGTCAATTTTTTCTTCACAAGATGATCCTAAGAATCCTGGTCAAAAAGGAGTGATAATTACCATAAGTAAAAATTATTTGCATGCATACAATTCAATTTTAAAAATTCAACCTGGAACAACATCAAGAGATACAGAGCTTAGTATTTTTTTTTTCATTTTGTGAAAGAAATACCAAAGCATGGATTACACAAAATTATACAAATTTACTAATTATAGGAACTGATGTTATGTTATTTCAACTCAGTACATAAGAAGTTTAATTTTTTTTATGGCAGGGCTTCAAAGACATTGGTAGTATCTTCATGAGGTGGCTTCCATCTCAAATGATTATATTAGAAAGATACACAGAAAGATTTATCTTAGATAAAACAAGTAATGCATATGCAGCATTGTCAACTCTCATGATTTTTGGCACTGTTTTTATAGTCTATGCTTCGGGAATGTGAAAAACTTAGCTCTTTCTTTTATATATGTATATAAATATATATAAAAGAAAGAGCTAAGTTTTTCACATTCCCGAAGCATAGACTTTAAGAACAATGCCAAAAATCATGACAGTTGGCAACACTGCATATGTAGTAAAAAGGTGTAACAGCCATGAATGCAATGGAGCAAAATTAAGCCCCAAATCTTAAACATATATATTAATATAAAGTGTACGATAGGGGTATCTTGCACTCAGTGTATATGCAGAACAAGTGTAACTTGCACCCTGAACTGTTAAAGGAATGGTATACTATTATCAATCCTAAATATCCTCAAAATCCTAAATTGGAAACTTAAAAAATCAAGGAACTAATATAAAAATCCCATATTTCAAAAAATAATTAATTTTGGAAGGTTTTATTTCCAGGAGGAAGAATTCTAAATAAAGCATAAAATATGGTGATAACTGCAAACAAAAGACTTGACAATATGCAGGGTGACAGAGTGGTGAAAGCAAATATTGTATAAAATAATACACCAGATTGTAACCTCAGTTGCATTAATGGAGACTGTGGAGTTAATCTGGATTCAAATCACTGCATGTTCAATCAGAAATTGTCTTGAATATAACTGGGCATAGGAGATGGAGAGTTTCTTTAATTAGTGATCTCCTTTTAGTTACTTTTCCTGCCACACCTCTCGTTTTGTGAAATTACTACTTGCCACATGTAAGAATGTTAAATATGTGTAAATGACATCTCTCTAACACTTACATCAGAGGTCAGCAACATTTTCCAATGGGGGCAAGAACAAACCAGCTCTGCTTGCAGGAGGGTGGGCACTAGAACTGGGCCACTCTACCACTTTTCCCAGCTGCAGCACAGCGCAGGGAAAGACCTCTCTGATGAAGCCTCAGGTGCAGTGTAGCATGGGCAGAGCTTTCCTTAAACCAAAGGCCTGGATACTGCCTGCAGCATGATGAAGTGAGAGCACCCTGCTGCCAAATGCCACCTGCTGCCAAATGCCACCAAAGCCACATCTGCTCTGAGCCACATCTGTAAGCCAGAACTGCTTCACAGGCCTTAGGTTGCTGACCTCTAATTTAGATCCAGTTTAGCCGTCTTGTAAGTGGCCCAAAAGTTACAGTACCGTATTTTTAGTATCAGTAATGCAGCGTTTTTTTTATTGAGGCCCAGCATTTCTGACAGATATACACTGGAAGCATAGGAAGAAGGCTTGGATCATCTTTCATGTTGTGTTATTATTAATTTCTGTGTTAATAAAACCTAACTCTTAAAAAGAAGTGAATTCAGACATCTGTTCATAGAAGCATATGTATATAGACACTGCGTTGTTGAAATTAAGAAATCCACAAAAGCAATGGAGACACAGTATTGCTAATGAATGACAGAGCATTGCATAAAAGAAGAGAGAAAAAGTGTGTGTGTATATATGCCATAATAAAATTTAAAAGAAAAGAATTTTGAACAAGTTATAGTATAATAACTACGGCCGAAACCATTTACAGTGTGGCTCTTGTGCCATAAAATAGGACAGAAAAGAAAACAATGTGTGTTTTCTCCACTAAAAAAAGGGACAAAAGATTAAAAGTTATATTGAAATTAAAATATGATCCACTTTTATATATCATCACTTTCCAGGCTCTACACCTCTGGTCTCCCAAACAATGGAACAAACAGCCCCAATAAGACCAAAATATTCTAGATCATAGACCATCTCCTAAATCTTCCATATGCTGGCCATGGGAAAGAACAAATCAAAGACTACAACACATTAAACCGCTCAGACCCTTGCTCAGAATCACTAGACTACTTAACTACAGTATAATGTGTAAAACTGAGGCAGACTCTCACCAAATACAGGCCTGGTCACAGAAGCCAATCTGAAACCAGATTATAGCCTGGGTAGGTAATATTGCAAAAGAGATGGTGGCACACATGCCCACAGATGTAAAGAAGAAAACAAGGCAAAATACAGAAATTTAAAAAATGCTTATTTCAGGAATCATCAGTGACATCTCAAAAAGCAATGAGGAAAACCTGTAATGACTAATAACAAATGGACAGTGTCAGACCTCAGCGCGAGTCCCATTCTAGGTTGGCTGAACAAGTGGGGCACTCTTTTACTTAAATTTTGATACTTTGTGTAGCTCTTGCCATGCCAGGGAAGTCTCAAATTGAGCTGAATTGATCATTTATGACTAATGCATGGTGTCAGTCTGTCACCTGGGCAAGTACAATTTGAACTGGAAATAGTGTAAAAAAGGAGACATTTATCTCTCTAGATAGGATTTCTTATAAGACTGTGAAGGCTGTGATATGTACTTCCAGCTAGACCAAATACACTATACGTACTGTCATATCTTGCCGTCTATTATTGATCGTGGACAAATTAATTTTCTGAATAATGTCACTGCATCTTTCATCTACAGCTGGGTCATACTTTATCATGAACATGTTTAAATGAATCCTGACAGGATGTGTTACTTCAAGGGCATTTTTACTAACACTGAGTTTTTCCTTCTCTCCTTCTGTAATTAGTTACAATTTAAAATGCAAGTGAATGAAATCACAACTTACTGCACCTTAACAAAGTTTTCAATAGACTTTGAAAGCAAAAGAACTCTCCTAAGCAAGTAATGGATCAAATTATACATTGAAGTGTAGCAATAAAAACCCTCACTCTCTGGTATGTTCAAATGATACAATTTTTACTTTATCAATGGATGTTCTTAAATAATGCAAGGCAAGAAGATGCGGCTTGTGCTCAAGGCTAGAAATGAAGAAATTTGTAGTTGTGATCCACTTGATCCCTATCCTGGTGTAAGACATTGTACAAATAAACAAGGCCCAGTTATGCAAAAGTGACTAATAATTTTGGCCTAAATTGTATGCTTTAAGCCCAGTTCTCAGGTACTCTAATCTTTTATCCCTCCAATTTAGATCAGCATTTCTGATGCTATTTCTATAACCTCTCGTACCTGTATATCTAGGTAAGGGGTGTTTATTACCTAAATTCTGCTCCCATCCATCACAGTGTCAATTACAAGCAGCAACAATTATTTTATTAAAATTATGTCAGATTTACACTGTGATAATTGAAAACAAAATGGATCTACATATTTAGAACACAGGCACTCAACCTTCTCATCTCCATGAGCCAAATGAGTAATGCAGGGCCAGTCCATGGATCAAAGGTGGCATGTAAGGTTGATGTGTGGTATCAGTCCATGGGTGTTATCCCGTGTGCTGTCCCAAGGGATTCCCACGGGATGGCAGATTGTGGATAGGACACTAGATTCTATTACAAGTTTTGTGACCTTTGATGAGTCATTTCCTTCTTAGGAAAACAGAAAACAAAAGGGAAAGTGTTAATAGCTGCACCTCACAGTCAGGGATGCATTGGAGGGGGACAGGGCTGCCGTTGATGGTGCCATCACTGCCACCCAGCGGTGTCAATGGCAGGGGGTGTGGCAAGTGGCGACTGACTGCAGGTGCCGCCGACAGTGTAGGCAGCACTTTTTCATAGGGGGTGCAGTGGGGGGAAGCTGCAGACAGAGGGGGGCGAGTTGCAAAGGCGAGCAAGATCACCCAGACCATTGGGGAGATGCTTGCTCTGGATAGCCACCCCTCCTCCCTAGTTGAGTAGTCAGGGTTCAGGCGCATAGCGCTTCTGGCCCCATCTCACAAAGTGCCCGCATGCACCACCTTTAGCAAGACAGTGGTGCCCTCCCTGTATGAGGCATGCAGGAAGTACTTGAGGGAGAAGCTGTGCAAGGCAGGGATGCAGGTAGCCTTACACTTCACCTCTGATATCTGGAGCAGCTGGGATGGTGATCATGCCTACCTCTCCCTCACAGGGCACTGGTGATCAGTCAGGCTGTCAGTGGGCTCTCTTCCAAACCGAGGTGCTGGATGAGTCCCACACTGCCACAGAGATCATGGGGCCATGAACCGCTTGGTGCAGGAATGGCTCATTCGCCAGGACGAACTGGCGAATGATGATAAATGGGCAGAAGGAATTGGTGACGGACAG